GCGGCGCGCCGCGGCGCTTGAAGCAACTATTTCACACCAGAGGTATTGCACAGTATCACACGAAATTGAAGGCGCTCCAACATATTAGGAATGGCATGCATCCTTCAAAAGTACGTAGCTTCCCTCGCAAATTAAATCAAGATACTGCGGCCCAAAAAAAGAACGGTAGTTCAATAACTCACTAAGTCCTAGCATCCGTAATTAGTAACGTTTAGCATACACTTTATCGCCAGGCTGTTGCTTAATCGCCATCGGCTATAAAAGGCTATAAGAAATTGCGTTGCCGGCTATAGAAGCTATTGGACATCTTACAGCCGGCTGTAGGTCTATGGTATTTTGGAACACAGATTCTACTGCCAATTTTTACCAGGGTCCCTTGAGTTTCAGTCTTGATATCGCCATGTGCTTAGAATAATTAGAGCAACTATTTATGCCGAAGAGATGTTTTCGAAGTATAAATGAGGAATTATCCTTGCAGTTAAGCATGCCGCACAAGGAACGAGTCTTTCGGGGAGGTTTGACATGATATTTTCGACTAAAACTGCAAAGTTCGATGTAAATGTCTTTACATTATAATTGAAAACCGCTAATGTCGATTTTTCCAGCCTTCAGTTTTTTTGAGTTGATAATGCTTTTAAAAAGTTGATACAACCATAAAAGTGATTATAGGACTCGTATTGGGATTAAGGTAACCCGGAGACGAGTATTAACGCCTTTTTCGTGGTTGCATCCAACTACGAAAAGTACTATCAACTCAAAAAACTGAAGTGTCGAAAAATGGACAATAGCAGTTTTTGCACGTCCCGATTCAATTGTACGGGGTGCTTCTTGAGGGAAATTCTACGTGAAAATAGTGAAACCACCTCTAAAACCTCTTCTACGTTCCGCATCAATATCGATATGAGTTTTTAATATTTCCACATTCTGTCCGACTCCTCTCATTGGCTCGCTCCACTCAGCGTCGCTGGTGAGGCAGTTGGTGTCCGAAGTTAAAACGCCTTCATCTCCGTACTTATGCAACGCGGACATCCATGGAGCTCGAATAGTTGCATCCAGGCGTTATAATGGAATTCGTTCAGTATCAGTCGCATGCGACACTAACCGAAGCTTCGGTTGTTTCTCGTTTACTTTAACTTAATCCAGCGTTGCCTGTTGTGCCGATGAAGTAAACCATTACTAACTTTTTATCGCACCATTGTCAGTTTTCCGAGAAATGCATTATTTAGATGTATCACAAATTGCTGTCGAAATCGAAAAAAATTACGTATAGGAACATGATATGTAGAGTTTTGATTAACCCACTTTAATGTGTAGTCCTTCGATTGGATCATTTTCTTTTTTTCCCCTCGGGGAAAACGAATTCCACGTTTTATTCTGCCGTGCAAAGGAAAAACGCCGATGAGCCTTCAGACGTTGCCGAGTTTCCTCCGATAAAAACCGAATTTGCTGGGAAAATTGCGAATATTATTTTCCAAAATTTTCGGACAATTTTGTGCGCAATTTAATCTAAAATTTCAGAAAATATCAAGAGAAAATATGCCCTGGTAAAAATCGGCGATACGAGCTGCGTTTCAAAATACCATAGGAGTTCTTACAGCCGAGTAAAGATGGCTATTGAAAATCATATAGCTGGCTGTAGAAAGCGGAGCAAATCATAAAGCCGGGCTATACGAAGCTATAAAAAAGTACGCCGCGCCGCAGCGTGCCACGGCGCTTGAAGCGACTATTTCACACCAGAGGTATTGCACGGTATCATACGAAATTGAAGGCGCTCCAACATATTAGGATTGGTAGGCACCCTTCAAAAGTACGCAGCTTTCCGCGGAAAATAAATCAAGATTCTACGGCACAAAAAGAGAGCGGTAGTCCAAAACTAAGGCCTCGTGGATAACACTCAGGAGGTTAATATGGAACTAGTTACAGATAAAATCATCCTAATTACATTCTATATACTCGTAACTTTAGGGTACTTTAAAAATTACCCTGGTAAAAATTGGCGATAGGAGCTGCGTTTCAAAATACCATAGGAATTCTCATAGCCGGCTAAAGAAGGCAATAGAAAATCGTATAGCTGGCTGTAGAAAACGGAGCAAATCATATAGCCGGGCTATACGAAGCTATAAAAAAAGTATACAGCCGGGCTATAGCTCCTATCGCCGGGCTTTACACTTTATCGCCATCGGCTATAAAAGGCTATAAGAAATTGTGTAGAAATTCGTGTGCTTTGGAAATCATTAAGTTTGATACGGAACTACCTTAATATTTACAAAACACACATTATATTTTCCCTTTAAAACATATTTTTTTCGTCAGTTAAAATGATATTGTCCATACAGAGTGTGCAAACATTTCAAAATGAAGAGTTGAAAAACGCTGACTCCGCGAGATTAAATATTAGAACCTAACACAAAGCGGAGCGGCGCGGCGGCGCACTGGCGCCTACAAACCTAACAGGGATACTTCACGCATTGCGCAATGCGTGAAGTATCCCTATTAGGTTTGTAGGCGCCAATGCGCGTTTCGCGCTCTCTGGCGTCCGCCGCGCCGCAGTGTGCCACGGCGTCTGAAGCAACTATTTCACACCAGAGGTATTGCAAAGTATCATAAGAAATTAAAGGCACTCCAACATATTAAGAATGACAGGCATCCTTCAAAAGTACGGAGCTTTCCTCGCAAAATAAATCAAGACACTACGGCACAAAAAGAGAGCGGTTGTCCAAAAACTAAGTCCTAGTATCCGTATTTAGTAACGTTCAGCATAAACTTTATCGTCTGGCTGTTGCTTAATCGCCATCGGCTGTAAAAGGCTATAAGAAATTGTACAGCCGGCTACAGAAGCTATTGGAAATCTTACAGCCGGCTTTAGGTCAATAGTATTTTGGAACACACATTCTACTGCCAATTTTTACCAGGGTGCATGAATGTTGTCAAAAATACATTTTTTATCAAGGGGAATTTGGCAACTCTCAAATGTTCACACGGCGATCTTCCTTCACACAGCAGTATAACTACGAATTTTTCAAGGAACGGTCCTGATGATTTGCTCGAAATTCGGAGCAAAGTCGATGACCATTGCAAAATGAAATGCGACGAGAAACCTGTGATATCACAAGCCTAAATGCACGTATATGATATCCCGGGTGCAATGGAGGAACTAGCACAATAAAGTCTGGTGACTATGCTAATGAAAATATATTATGCTTTGCCCTGTTTTTCCTGAAATGTGGGCTGCGTCTGGTTTTGACTTTAAAATGTAGCAATATTGAACTAGCAGTATTCCGACGCAGAATAATTGCTTAAAACCCACCAATCTGAAAGAACACATTACTGGTGCTTACACTGCGCTGTCATCAGTAGTCCTCCCTTGGATCTTGAACTTTCGTTGAGCGGACAGACGCACAGTGGAAGGAGTCTTCGGAAGAAGTCGGACATGAAATTTTTCACAAAAATTATAAAATTTTACATTTATCTCGTCACAATTTTAATTTAAAGGAGTATTTTTCTCAGAGACTTTTGAGAGAAAACCAATGAAACTACTTTTAAAAAATCATAGTATTGAGGATAATCGCTTTTAAAGTTTTTGAATCATCTCCGATCACTCTCATTGACTCGATCCACTGTGAGAAACCCCGATGGCGAGAGAACGTTAATGGCTCGCTCGCTGAACGACCTTGACTGCAGGCGCGAAGGAAGAGGAGCTGAGGTGGAAAGGAGCCCCGCTTTTCTAAGTATAGAGGAAATGTTGGACACTACCCCCTTTCCCCATCCAATTTTGAGTTTTTTTTTTATTTAATGAGCCAATTGTGCTGGTCGTAGAATTGTGCTTTGATGATCCTTCAGAAACCGTTAGATCTATTCAGACACTAAGTTTCCACCTCCGATACTAACGGGGATATCACCCTTTGAAAATTACCTTTTTTAAAAAACACATTTCGGATTTTTTAAAGCAATTAATTTATGAAAAATAATTCCATCAATTTTTTTGGTTTTTTAACAATATTTTCTGAAAATTTCTGGTAGAACCATCAAACAATGTTAGACGATACACTCTTAAAAGATAAATTACGAACTGATATTTCGAGACATCGCAATCGTGATATGAGTGGTTCATGATCGATATTCTATGTTTTAAAATTTCAGGGCAGAGATTTGCTTACATTTGAGTAGCAAAAAATCCTTACCCAGCAAGTTTAAAATAACCTGAAGAAGTTAATATATCTGGAAAGTTTTTACGTTACGTTTGAGTGATGGTGGCTAACGAAGTTATACACTTACGAAGTGCTGAAGTGCTTCATGCTCCTACTATAGCCTTAATGTGGCCCAACCCCCAATACCATGATGGGTGCTCTGCGGTTATAAAAAGCCGAGGCCTTAATTAGCAAATTTGCGAATAGCGGGCTCACTTGAAGGATAATCTCTGTCTGCATACTGCCATGCTAAGGAAAAACGCAGTATGAACATTCAAAAGTTGCCAAATTTCTTTCTATAAAATGTTCATTTCTTAGGAAAGTTATAAATATTTTCTCTTGAAATTTTCAGGACCTTCGGTGGAATCGCGAGCAAAATTATCTGAAAAATTGGAAGAAAAATACGCATAAGTTTACCAGGAAATTCGCATTTTATCAAAGGAAATTTGGCAACGCCTGAAGGTTTATACGGCGTTCTTCCTTAGTAGGACAGTATAACCCCACTGAGAGCCCCATTATTACGTCACTGCACCCACTACCCACTCGCACGGTAAATTTTGGAGTAATTATTTTATTTATCAAGCACTATGGAGCACCAATCGGGCTAAGAAAGAACAGCGTATGCACAATTGCACACGAAGATGCTGCCGAATATTTTTTTTTTAAATATAACGTGCATATTTTCTTCGAAAATTCCAAAATTTTTCGATTGAATTGAGAATACAATCCTATAAAGCATTCCAGGAGAAGAATTCTAAATCTTCCCAGTAAATTCGTATTTTTTCGAAAGAAATTTAGCAATGTTCAAATGTTCATACGGCATCTTTCTTTAGTACGTCTGTTCGTCGGTGCGCTGCGCCTTGCTAAATATGAGTGCAGTATGGAAATTAGAATGATGCCAAATTTTTCCGATTAAATATTTATGTCTGAGAAAATCCCTCGACATTTTCGAAATGCCACATGGAATTGTGAATTGAATTCCCTACAAACCTACTTCGAAAGCATGATGTCCCACCTCACAATGGAGCGAGTCAAAATTGGACATGATTTTTTTTTTTTTTTTTTTTTTTTTTTTTTTTTTTTTTCAAGAAATGGAAATTTGGAGGTTTATTTCGGCATTAAGGCCCAGATACACACGGCGATTAGTCGCCGGGAGTGAAAGACGGAAGCCAATAGAGAGCCTTGATTTCGATATATCGACGTCAATGGATCGAAATCAAGGCTCTCCATTGGCTTCTGTCTTTCACTCGCGCGTTGGCGGATCCAGAAAACTGGCAGAATTCTTTTCTCCATTTAAACCTATGGAAATCTATCGATTCTTGGAGGGGCCAGGTGCTCGGACAAGAATCGATTATTTCACATAGGTTTAAATGGACGGAATCCGGTGTTGCCAAATTGCTGGATCCGCCTCTGCACTCGCGGCGATTAATCGCCGTGTGTATCCAGGCCTTTAACGCGGGAGATATGGCAACGTCGGAATGGACATACGGCGTTTTTCCCGAGGCGCTAAGTTGCCCGGCGCGGCGTGTGGCGTGGCGGTGTGTTGCGGCATCACTGCTGCAGGTAGGCAGGTTATCCGGCTCGGAACGGTTCGGTCCAGCGGCGGCACCGGCACCGGGTGACCTAACACTTTCTCTTTCTTCCGCGCGGGCCTCCCGCGTCTCGCCCTCTTCTTCCGTCTCCGTCTACGTCTACGACGGAGCTTTCTCTTTCCTCCGCGGTGGAGGGGACGCCGGCAGCCATCCGTCCATAATGCAACTCACTCCTGAGTCTGGTACCGGCCCCAAGTGATCTGGGCACTTTCGGGCATCTCCCGGCAAATGGATTAAGTGCGTGCCCCGTGGAATACTCTATTTTATCACAGTAAGTTCCCGTTCTCTTATCACCCTTTCGGGCTTTTCGCGAAGTAGTGCGCGGCATGAGTGCTCGTGGAATGTGCAACTCTTCCTCATGTTGTTCCCGGAATGGAATATGTCTTCGGATTGTGATTTTTCCTCTCGAATTATTGATGAAAGGTTGAAGGGAAGGGATTGAAGCGGAAATGTTAAGGTGCTCAATCCCCCAAGATTTGTGGGTTGAAAGAGAGCAGTGGAGGTTAGGAGTCGTAGAGCGCGAGGAAGTGCTGTAAAGCTACTTATATGTACGTATTATTGATGCCGCAAGTTGTCTGCGGGCAAATGATTGGGATTGATAGACGAAGCCATGGACAAAGAGGACAAACTGAAAATAAAGCAATCCTATTCTGCCGTGTTAAGGAAAAACGCCGTATGAACATTCGAGAACTGCCGAATTTCCTCCGGTAAAATCTTCATTTTTAACGAGAGTTATGAATATTTTCTTTTATAACTTTCAGAAAATTTAGAGCTCATCGCAAATAAAGTTCTCCAAAAAATTGGAGGAAAAATGATCGCAAATTGCCCGGAAAATTCGTATTTTATCAAAGAAAATTTGGCAACGCCTAAAGGCTTATGTGGCGTTTTTACCTAGCACGGCAGTATTGGTGGGAGAAGGTGGTTGCAATGGACAAAAGAGGTAAATAATAGACTGACTAACAGCAACCCGCGAGAGACTCTGTATTTATAGTCCATCATTTTTAGTCTAAGACGACCACCCGTTCCAACCAATAGGATCGCTCCATGTTTCCTGTGTCTTGTTTGTCTATCACTGTGTCTTTCAATATCAATAATCAGCCCGCTAGAGATGGGAAAGAGAGTAAATCGCAATGTAGCTCAAGTGGTTATCACAAAAAGAACGAGTGTGTTTTCCGCAGCATCTGACTGTGTAAATGTATGCACCGCGTCAAGGGCTGGATTCGCGATTTTGTCGCCTGGAGCTATGGACCAAAAAACCCCGGCCTAAATATAAAAAAAGGTCTTCATTTCTGCGATCTGCCGCTGATAAAATATCTTTCCTAGATATTTGTCACCAACCCCCTCCCCCCTCCCACCAGAATCCGATCCTGATTGGGCTTGAGGGAGACCTGAATGGTCCCAGGAAAAGCCCTCACTTTGAGCATTCCCGGTGGAAAACAACCACGTGCCCTGAATGAGATCATTTTTAACAAACTGAAATGATGGGCTAAAAATACCGAAAATGTTATCATATGGTATTACTGCACGGTGTTCCTCGCGAGAAGAATTTCAAAATACGATGATGTCATTAGATAAATAGTTTGAAAATTCGGGGACAGCGTCAAGCTAACACAGTGGAGATCCATCTATAGGCGGGATATGCAAATGAGAGTTTCGATTGACTCGAGTAAGTTTCAGACTTTGGAATGCGGACTGACCCGTGTAGATAACTTCCCGATCGACCTGTGCGTCATGGGCCGTGCATTAGATGCAGGTGCAAGTGCAACATACAACTTCGACAAGTTTATTCACCTCCCTCCAAGCTCTGCTAGAGCTCGTGAAACCGAGCTGTCTCGGAAATCCAGTTTTTCATGGCAGCAGTTTCCGCATTTTCCCACTCCTCGAGGTGTGCAAAGAATTTTCAGATTGAAGACCGGTTTTCAAAAATCACGCGTGATAGTACATTTTTCTTACCATCACAGTGATTGATCGAATGAATGAACCCTTACGTTTATTACGCGTAATTTGATACAGTGGCGTGGCGTGCTTTGCGATACATCGATTGACCTGCAATTCAAGCCTATGAAAAAGGATCGATGAACAAGGTGTCCGCAATGAACACCTTAATAATCGATTCTTTACCATAGCTTCAAATGGGGAAATATCGAATATCGATCATTCACGCCTCGCCGCGGTTTGCAACCCTTTTTGTTTGTTCCTCATTCTCTCAAGACCACCCCCTCCCCCTCCACCCTGATATATGTATTCTACCAAAATTGCAATACGTCGAATCGTCTGTATCCCCCCCCCCTTCTGTGATGACCCTAATTACGGGTTACAAAAGCCCTAAAAAGTGCATTACGTAATCTTGCATTGCAAAAGCGCTGAGTTAGCAATCGAATGTTATCAAAGCCTCTTTAATAAAAATAATGAATTTTCCGGGGAACTATTCTTTTGATTTTGATTCTAATCTTTCGATTTGATCTAAAGTACCTGAAAAATTCAAGGGAACATAAGCAGAACTTTCCTAAAAAATGGACGTATTTCTATTTAACGGAACTAAGCGCCAAATTGAGTTCTTTTTGAAGAATTTAGAATCCCGGATAGCGCGTTCTGTCAAACGGACCTAAGCGCCATGGAAGAGCATTGCGAGTATAGGACGGAACGACACCCGCCAATCCAAGGCGCCTCCCCCCCCCCTCTCATTTCCTCCCCCTATGGCGCTTTAGTTCCGTTTGATAGAAACATGTCCAGATAAAGGTGTTATCGAGAGATTTAGCAACAATTAGATGTTTACACGGCGTTTTTCCTTAGCACGGTAGTAACTCACAGACAACTTTTACGAGTCAAATCTTGCACAAGCTTATAAGCCTTCTCGGAGAAAATACCTACGCTTCACCATTAATTTAAATTTTGCACGACAGAATCGGAACACACGCAAACGCGACCCAAAAAAGACAGGAGTCTTACATCAACTCAATAACTAGCTTTCCAACTGTGGTGCAATACTCTCGACAAAGAGGAATTATTCGCTCGGATACGTCAGCATTTCCTGCGTCCAAGCGGCAGCATTGCAACTTCCAAGCCTCGGCGAGTCAACTTATGAGGCTCTTTTCAAAATTCCGTCGCCCCGTAGCATTCGAGCGCCGTTTTTGCGATCTTCTTCGCGTAACTACGCGAGTCTGTAATCCTTACGTAATGCGGGTCGCAGATCAGGTTGTTTTATCGCTTGAGCAATCAACTTTCGTTACATTCATAAAAGTTAGTCGGGTAGACATTCTCGTCCTTCCTCCGGTGAGACATTTTTCAAGCTCATGTCAACATTTGCACCTGAACGTTTCTTCTTTAGGTTTAAAAGTGAGTAGGCACCGCATTTTATCGGGGAAAATGACCCTACTTACAGCATATTTGAACGGAGTTGACGTTTTTTCACTTAAACTTTAACTTTAAAACATTAAGCAGCATATCGATGGCTAAAGGGCGACACCGCGTACCTCCAAAAAAATCCCCAAAATCTCCGCTTTTAGTTTATTTTGAAGAGGAACAAACCAACTTTACAGCTTATACGGAATATTCTCCTAACAGGAGAGGAAAACTCAAGGAAGTTTTAAATAAATTTCGTTGACTAGTTTTCCGAGGAAAAAATTAAGTATGCCTGGAAATCTGCAACGTCGCAAACGGAGGTACATGATCTCCCACTTTAGCCATCGATATTCATGAGGGGTATAAGATTGAGGTTACGTTAACGCACACTGCTGTTTCGCCTTCAATTCTTAAGGTAGGCCAGATTCCAATCATCATTACTTCATTTCGCCTCTTGTACCCTGCTTTCTCGTCTTGACTTCGTTCCCCTCTCTTATTTCCTTTATCCCTTTTGAGAATCGTATGCTTTAGTTTTAATTTGTCAAGGATTATATAAATAATAATTAACTGATGGGCTTTCCTCAGCTTGTGTAAAATTTGGCCTCATTTGCTGCATAATATTCAATGCGCGAACCCACCGCGTGGAATGGCCCATTAACTCGCCTGCGCCCGAGTACAAAAATTTCCAATTCTCACTGATGCAATTAATTTTAATAACCATGCTCTTTCAACATGTCCAAGGTTGAGGTGAGGTCACTAGACCCGGAGTATCTTTCCTAGCCTACGTCATGGAGGGCTCAGCCTCAGGGCAGTAAGTTCGTAAACCTTCACAGACTATTTTAGTTCCGATATCATATGTACGCAACATCGATACACTCGAATGTAATCACGCAATCCTGCAATTCGCAGCTTATTGACTCCTTTAAATTTTGCCGCTCCCAAGTGGCGAACTCAAAAGAAGATCGAGGAGGATGCATTTCGTGACACCCCCCCCCCCCCCCCCCNGAATCCTAAACAAACAGAAAAATGAACCCAGTTATGAGTCTGGAAGCCATACTTATAAACTTGAAGTATGCTACTTTTACACTGAAATTAAAGATTGGTAGAATTTACCATTTCTTCACGCTGTATTTCACACAGCGTGAAGGTATGGTAAATTCTACCAATCTTCAAGTCGAATTCTGCCATAGGAACGGTTACATGTACCAGTATATAGTAACGTTTACCTTTTTTCTGGCAAAATTGACTCTGAATTAACACTGTGCGAAATACAGCGTGAAGGAATGGTAAATTCTACCAATCTTTTTGTTCAGTGTACTATCTTTCTTCTCTTTCTTTCTCCTCTACCTCCTCTTTTCTTCCATCTTTTCTCTTTTTTATCTCTTATCTTGGCGCAAAGTGGCGATGGGGCGGAGGGGGTGGGGGAGAGGGAGGTTATGCCACCATGTCCCTTCCCTGGATCCGCCACTGATCTACAAGACTTCATGGTTCACAGACGACGATGAAAGACCGTAGGCTCACAATCAGATCTGGCTCCGGAGCGGAATACAGAAGAAAGGCCGCCTCGTGCTCCGCGGATCGCATAGGGAAGGAAAGACGGTCGAAGACGTCTCTGATCGAAGTGAAACCTCAAATTAGAAAACTCCGAAAACTAAGTGGATGATAAATGGAAGGACTAAAAACGGTGCGTCACTGTGCTCTGTCATGGACAAAATCAACTTGCATCCTCACTTTTTTCCCCGAAGTAAAATCCACGATATTGTTACCGGATGGAGGTTGCGGTTCCCTAGGATCAAATCGCTTCAAATAAACCGCTTTCACACTTGTTCGAAAGACCGCAAACCCGCGTCTTGGACGATTGAGATAATCATTAATGGGTAGATTTACAGCTCGGACAAGACATTTAAATTGATTAGTTTTGTGAATTGA